TATCATTGGGCATGTGGAGGTATTATTGATATGAGAAAATGCTAAGTAACTGATTTACTATCTGAAAAGGGATTTACTATTGGGGAAAGGGAGGGAAGAAGAGACTGAACATAAACTGCATCTATGGATGAGGACAATGGGGAATGGGGAGGGGGCAGAGGGTGGGGTGGGTACCTGGTGGAGGGGGGAAGAAATGAGGAACCTTTGTAATAATATGAACAATAAAGATTGATTTAAAAAAAAAAAGAATTATTATCAGGATTTATAAAGAACTATAAAAAAAATAACACAATAAAAATATAAGTAAATTATATAAATAACCAACAGAAAAGGATTTCACTAATAAGCAGAGCATACAATTTAAAATATTATAAATTAATAATCCTGGAACATATGGTCAGGATAATTCAATGGGGAAAGAACAGTCTTTTCAACAAATGTTGCTGGGAAATTGTATATCCACATGCAAAAGAATGAAGTTAAGCCCTTACTGTACACCATATACAAAAAAAATTAACTTACATGGATCAAACTCCTAAATGTAAGAGCTAAACTATAAAATTCTTACAACAAAACACTAAGAAAAATCTTCATGATGTTGAATTTGGCAGATTTCTTGGATATGATACCAAAAGTATAAGTAACAAAAGAAAAATGAGATATATTGAACTTAGAGTTTAAAATTTGTGTGCGTCAAAGGACACAATCAAAAGAGTGAAGACAGCTGAAACCGGTTTGGCTCAGTGGTAGAGTGTCGGTCTGCGGACTGAAAGGTCCCAGGTTCAATTCCTGTCAAGGGCATGTACATTGGTTGCGGGCAGCTGGTCAATGTTTCTCTCTCATTGACGTTTCTAGCTCTCTATCTCTCTCCCTTCCTCTCTGTAAAAAATCAATAAAATAGATTTTTTTAAAATTTTTTTAAAAATAAGAGTGAAGACAATATATAGAAGAGGAGAAAGTATTTTTAAATCATATATCTGATAAGATATACTTATCCCTTACATACAACCTAATTAAAAAATGAGCAGAGGATTTGAATAGACATTTCTCCAAAGAAAATAACCAAAAGGCTATAAGCACAAAAAAATTTGTTCGATATCACTAATCATTAAAGAAATATAAATCAAAGCTACAGGAGATATCACTTCATACCCTCCAGGATTGCTACTATTAAAAGGAAAATAACAAGTGTTGGTGAGAATGTGGAGACATTGGAATCCTTTTGCATTGCTGGTGAGAATGTAAAATGGTACAGCCACAGTGAAAAATAGTGTGGTGGTGCCTTAAAAAGTTAAGCACAGACTAAGTGAAGGCAGTCACAGAAAGACAAATACTACATGGTTTCATTTAAATAAGGTATCTCAAGTAGACAAACTCATAGAAACAGAAAGTAGAATAGTTGTTGCCAGGATGTGGGGCATAAGGGAGAAGTGGGGGGAGTTGTTGTCTCATGGGTATAGAATTTCAGTTTTGCAAGATGAAAAAGTTCTAGAGATTGGTTACACAACAATGTGAATATACTTAACATTACTTAACTGTACACTTAAAAATAATTAAAATAATAAATTTTGTTATATGTATTTTACCTTCTTTTTTTTATAATTAAACACAGACCTGGCCAGTGTGGCTCAGTGGTTGAGCGTTGACCTATGAACCAAGAAGTCATGGTTTGATTGCCATTCAGGGCACATGCCCGGGTTTCAGGCTCAATCCCCAGGAGGCATGCAGGAGGCAGCCGATCAATGATTCTCTTTCATCATCGATGTTTCCATCTCTCTCTCTCTCCCTTTCTCTCTGAAATCAATAAAAATATATTTTTTTAAAAGTTAAACACAGAATTACTATATGACCAAAAATTTCTCTTATAGGTAAATACTCAAAAGAATTGAAAACAGGAATTCAAACTAATACTTGTACACTAAGTTCATAGCAGCATTATTCACAATAATCAAAAGATGGAAACAATAGAAATGTCCATCAATAGATGAATGGATAACCAAAATATGGTATATACATACAATGGAATATATTCAGCCATAAAAAGAAATGAAATTCTGACATAAGCTACAACAGGGATGACATTTAGCTAAGTGAAACAAGCCAGACACAAAAAGACAAATATTGTATGATTCCATTAATATGAGGTACCCAGAATAGGCAAATTCTATGAATGTAGAATAGAGTTAACAGGGGTTCAGGATAGGGACAAATAGGGAGTTATTGTTTAATGGATACAAAGTTTCTGTTTGGGATAATAAAACAGTTCTGGAAACAGATAATACACAACACTGTAAATGAACTTAACACCACTGAACTGTACACATGGTTAAATAATAAATTTAAGTTATGTATATTTTACTACATTAAAAAGAGAGAGAGAGTGCCCTTGCTGGTTTGGCTCAGTGGACAGCGCTAGCCCAAGGACTGAAGGGTCTAGGATTTGATTCGGTCAAGGGCATGTACCTCAGTTGCAGGATCAATCAGGGATTGTGCAGGAGGCAATCAATCAATGTGACTCTCTCACATCAATCTTTCTCTCTATATATCTCTCCCCCTCCCTTTCATTCTCTCTCTGAAAATCACTGGAGAAAATATCCTCTTGTGAGGATTAATAAAACAACAGAGAAAGAGGGAGGGAGGGAGGGAGGGAGGGAGGGAGGGAGGGAGGGAGGGAGGGAGGGAGGGAGGGAGGGAGGAAGAAGGAAAGGAATAGGAAACAGTGAAACATTGAGTTGGAGATAACTTTGTGAAAGTGTTTTGGTCCAAAAGAGAATAAGACATGAGGGAGTATAGCAACAAGAGATGATTTTCTCCCTTTAAAGTTTTTTTTTTTAAGTTGAGAGAAATAACAATGTTTACATGCTGATAAAAATAATTTAATAGGGAATGAAATATGATGTAGGAAAATGGAGAATTTCTTAGGTAATGTCTTTGAGAGGCAAATGGAAATAGGATATACCATACAAATAGAAATATGGCTTACATTGGAGCATGGTAGTTCATCCATCGTGACAGATATAAAGGCCAAATAAGTGGATAGATAGACATGTGGGTTAGTAGCCATATGTGGTGATGGGAGGCCATAGAAGTTCTCTTCAGTTTGCTTCAGTTTTCTCAGTGAATTAGGAAGCAAGATCATCACTGAAAGTGAGAACGAGAGAAGTTCTGGAAGTATGATCAGAGGAAAAAAAGGTATAAAATAATCTGGGAGTATAAATGAAGTAAGGAAATATGATTCTTGGGAGAATTAAAGGCTCAATTTTATTAAAAGTGTGTAAACACACTGGCCAGTGTAAGCTTGGTTGAATGTCATTCCACATACTGAAAGGTATCGGGTTTGATTTCCATTAGGGCACATACCTAGGTTTCAGGTTCAATCCTGGTTGAGGCCCTGGGAGGCAACCAACTAACCAACTGATGTTTCTCTCTAACATTGATGCTTCTCTCCCCCACCCCACCCCACCCCCGCTGCCCCCTGATCTCTCTCCTCCTTACCTCTCTCACTAAAATCAATAAAAACAGCCCTAGCCAGTTTGGCTCAGTGGACAGAGCATCAGACTCTGCAACTGAAGGATCCCAGGTTTGATTCCAGGCAAGAACATGTACCTCAGTTACAGACTAGATCCCCAGGCTCTGGTGGGAGGCAACCAATCGATGAGTCTCTCTCTCTAAAAATCAATGGAAAAATATACTCAGGTAAGGATGAACAACAAGAACAAAATTAATTAATTAAATTAAATCAAATCAATAAAAACATATCCTTAGAGAGAGAAAAAAAAAAAAAAAAAGGAAGAACTTACAATAATGAAAGTGTAATGTGCAAATCAACCAAATGGCCGAACAGTAGAATAACCGCCTGGATGACCATGTTATGACATCCACTGGTGCCAAGCCAGCCCAGGTGGGTGCAATGCAAGTGGTTGGGGGCCCAGCCATCACCCTATGATCACCAGGTAGAGGGAGGCCAGTTCACAGGTGGAGCCTCTTCTGCCTCCACAGCAGTGCTAAGGGTATCCAACTGACAGCTATGCCCGCCGGAGGGAGCGGACCTAAGCTAGCAGTTGGACATCCCCCGAGAGCTCCCGGACTACAAGAGGGCACAGGCTGGGCTGAGGGGCATCCCCGCTTCGAGTGTATGAATTTCATGTGCCACGTCTCTAGTGAATAAATTTTTTTTTTTTAAAAGAAGCAAAGCCTTTGCCTGTGTGGCACAATTGGTTGGGTGCCAGCCCATGCACCGAAAGATTGCCATTTGATTCCCCATCAGAGCACATGCCTTGGTTATAGGCTCAACTCCTGGTAAGGGTGCATGCCAATCGATATTTTGCTCTCACATTGATGCTTCTCTCTCTCTTTCTCTCTTTCTCTCTCCCTTTCTCTTCCTCTCTAAAAATCAATGAAAAATCTTTAAATGTGAAGTATAATGTATACTATATATATATTTTTAAGCAAACGAAAACTATATGTACAGGTATAAATATATGTGTATATTTTTATATGTACATATAAAATTTTACGTATGTATATAAGATATGTGTATAATATATGCATAAGCTTAGAAAAGGATCCAGAATTAACACCAAATTGTTAACAGTGTTTATAACTGGAGATATAGATATAGATATGTAGATATATAGATATATAGCTATATATATAGATATAGATATACAGATATAGATATACAGATGAAGGAAAAAGTGGAAGAGTCCTATATTATTTTTTTATCAGCATGTATTATTTTACAATTAAAATAATAAGATATCTCACAGGTTAATAAATAACTTGAGGGAACAGTTTAGAACAGCGGTCACCAACCTTTCAGATCTCACAGGCCACCGATGGACCACCGGTTGGTGACCACTGGTTTAGAACACTATTCAAGATCCACAGCATGCTGACTAGGTAAAGCCTGTGTCCTAATTAATTAAACACAACTATCAATTCTGCAGTGAAGCTGACCATCAACAAGACAATATGAGAAAAGATGAGACATCACTCACCTTGAATACTTCAGAAAAGAAGCCAGATCCTATTTTTTCACAGGTGAAGTCATCTAAACGTGTCAGTCTGGAAAAGGCACTTATAAGAGCTCGATATGAAGATGTCCCAACTCGTCCCACCTGGGTCATGTTCCCATCGTTTCCAACACCCCCTTCAAAATCTTCATGACGCTCCAAACGTGGAGGAAATCCTGCAATTGAATTCCGTTTGCTCCGATCCATAGTTGCAATAATCAGTTTTCTTCTTTTAAGAAGGAACTCCACACATAATAAATTTTTGTTGACTTTTACTTCTCTTCTGGTTTGACACTAAACAAGAGGTCAAAAAGATACTTCATTAAAACCATTAATAAACACATACAAACCAATAAACTAGCAATGTAAAAATATTTCTTCTTTCACATTCTAGTTCCTGACTTTCAGACCTAAAAAATACTTTATGCCTTTACCTTCAAAACACACTGATATATTTAAATCTCAGATATAATCAGTCTTTAACATGAGTAAAATACAATGAAGATCACTAATTACATTCTAAAGAACAAAATAACAATGGTAATCTCTCTCATTCGATGAGCATCTACTACCTAGGAAACAAGTATAAAAGCCCAAAATATGTCATGTCATTTGATTCTCACATAACTTGTGATATAAGAATTATTATGTTCATTTCACAAAGCAATCAAGTAATCATACAGCTCACTAAATGGCAGAGATAACATTAAAATGCAAGACTGTTTTTTTAAAAAGCCTGCGCTTTTACTAAAGCCTTGAATAGCCTCACATAATTTTTTCATTTGAAAAATTAAGACCAAATATACAAAACAAAGATGATAAAGATTTTATACTATAAAATTATATAGTTTTAGTCCAGCTGGCGTGGCTCAGTGATTGGGCATTTGCCTATGAACCAGGAGATCCTGGTTCGATTCTGGTCAAGGGCACATGCCCAGGTTGCAGGCTTAATCCCCAATGTGGAGCGTGCGGGAGGCGGTGAGTCAATGGTTCTCTCTCATTGTTGATGTTTCTATCTCTCTCTCTCTCCCTTCCTCTCTGAAATCAATAGAAATGTATTTTTTTTAATTATATAGTTTTAAAAGAAGAAAATTATATCCAAAAGCAATTTAAAAATTCAGTGTTGATTAAACAGCACAGTCCAGGAGAAGTGACTGTAGAAGGCTCCACCCTAGCTGTTTCATAAGTAAGAATAAAACACAATTGGTTCAGTGGAGAGAGCATCAGCCTTCAAACTGAAGGGTCCTGGGTTTGATTCCAGTCAAGGGCATGTACCTTGATTTTAGGCACATACCCAGTGCAGGAGGCAAATGATCGATATTTCTCTTTCATTGATGTTTCTAACTCTCTATCTCTTCCTCTCTGTAAAAAATCAATATATTTTTTAAAAAGAATAAAACATAAGCCTATATTTTCTTTTAACCTATCACCCCCTACATCTATTGCTTTCCAGGAGAATTGATTTTAAGGGTCATGTGAACAGTACAACAAAGTGAGTCTTCAATTAGAGAAATGCTTTCATAAATGTGATGAATACATAGCCCAGATTACCTTTACCAACTCCAACCAGGGAGAATAATGACAGGGCACCCAGGGCTATCCTCACAGCATGACCCTGACTCTACCAATATGCAGAATTTGGTGCCACTCTACACAGCATGAACCAATTACAGTTCCTTTCCTAGCAATTGGAATTATAATTAAGATATTCCAGACTCATCTGACTGCTTTATAAAAAGAAAGCCTTGTCAACTCAAGAGTGTTGGCCATGGCCATTTCCTGCCATGAAGCCTATAAGCTGAAAAAGCCAATTGATCATCTATCATCTTCAAAATTACCCAAGGATCTTAAAACCCAGATTCTTAGATTTCAACCTTGATCTCATAAATCAGAATAGAATCTCTTGGAGTGAGAACTGGGAATTTTACCAAGCTCCCCAGTGATTCTTATGTACATTAAGAGTTGAAGATTCTGCCAAGACTGGTTTGGCTCAATGGATAGAGCGTCGGCTTGGGGACTGAAGGGTCCCGGGTTCGATTCCAGTCGGGGGCATGTACCTTGGTTGCGGGCATATCCCCAGTGGGGGGTGTGCAAGAGGCAGCTGATCGATGACTCTCTCTCATCGATGTTTCTAACTCTCTCTCTCTCTCCCTTCCTCTCTGTACAAAATCAATAAAATATATTTAAAAATATATATATATAAAAAAAAAAAAGAGTTGAAGATTCTGCCAAACCGGTTTAGCTCAGTGGATAGAGCGTTGACCTGTGGACTGAAAGGTCCCAGGTTGATTCTGGTCAAGGGCATGTACCTTGGTTGCGGGCATATCCCCAGTAGGGGGTAGCTGATCGATGATTCTCTCTCATTTGATATTTTTAACTATCCCTCTCTCTTCCTCTCCGTAAAAAAATCAATAAAATATATTGTTTTTTAAAAAAAGAGTTGAAGATTCTTTACAGCAGCAAAGGGAAATGTTAATAGCTTTTTAAAAAAAGAAATTTTATAAGCATTTTCTCATTTATTCCTCAAGACATACCCCCAAAATATGATCCCAATTTTACAGAAAAAGAAATGTAGGCTCAGAAGGTTAACTTGCCTAAGGATACATAGCTGGTAGAACCAGAATTGAAAGCAAGGTCCATCCAACACCAAAAAAACTCAAGCTTTTCCCACATCATTATTACTTAGTTCAGTGTTTTTCCACTATGAGAGTTGTATGGATCTAAGCTAGTCATCTGGGTAGAAAGGAGGAAAGTATGGCCAGGACTTGAGTGCAGAGGAAAGCCAAACTAACTGTAATTTGGACAGAGACAGAACAGGAGGAAAAAGAAACTTAATTTTAGGAAAATAAAATACAAGGTATTGTAGTTAAAACAATATATAAAACATAGTTGCCTGCTAAATTAACTAAACAATTTGATAGGCTTCTTATGAATAAGATATAGCCCAGAAAACTGGTCAGCATTTAAAAAAAGTCCCGATTTTTGGAAAGATTGGAAAGATTCTTTCCAAAAATCGGGACTTTTTTGAAATGCTGTGGGATGCAGGAAAAATTGTTAGAAATCTGAACTGTCCCACCAAAAGCGGGATGATCTGGTCACCTTAAATAGAGAAAGTGCTTAGAACAGTGCTTAGCACACAGTAGGCACTCAGGAAATGCCAGGCGTTCTTAAGCTCTTAAGCTTCCCTGGAAGCTTGGGGAGGGGTATGGGAGGAGGCAGGAAACCAAAACGTAATTAATCAAGTGTTCTACTTAGTAGGGTCCTGGCTCACTGATATATTATAGATGACATTGAGTTGACGGATGTCAGACGTCCCTCACTTCCGCACGGGTCTAAGGCAGCTCCGGTGGCTAAATATTTCACCCAGGGATGGGTCCTCTAGGAGCAGGATCTCATCATAGGGGCTGCCTTTTCCAGCCAATCACGATGGAGATGGACCCTGCCACGGCATATACGTCTAATTCTGCTATGGAAATGGTATGACTTCCCTGCAATATTTTCCCAAATGTTTTCCTTCTGACTGGTTTCAGGTGTCGATAGAAGGCTAGAGCACTTGAATTTTGGGCACATGCTAGGATCTCAGTGGAGACTCCTCCTGTAGGCGCCATACTCTGCCACAGCCCCAAGGAGCGGGCCTGGAGGAAGGATTCACACCAATCCTTTCTGTTTGGGGAGAAACTTGAGGGATTCTGACAGTTGGATACCCACACATTCAACACAGCCACCACCCATGCAACCCTCCCCAACACCCCCACTTCTCCTCCCACAAGAGGTGTGCGCCTAATGTCGCCCACATTCTGCTGCAAATTAGGGGTCAATTCCTGCAATGGAGACAGACAGGTCCCTAGCAATGCGAGGATTACTCAGAACTTTGGGCATCCTTCTGAAGAGGGACGCAGGATGTTAACCGGCATTGACAAGTATTAGCAAGGAGGCCAAAACCAGGGACTCAGCACAAAGGCCAATGAAATATGTCAACATACATAGGACAAAAAAGAAACAACAGAGTTGCCGAAACCGGTTTGGCTCAGTGGTAGAGCGTCGGTCTGCGGACTGAAAGGTCCCAGGTTCGATTCCGGTCAAGGGCATGTACATTGGTTGCGGGGATGCTGGGGGGTGTGCAAGAGGCAGCTGATCGATGATTCTCTCTCATCGATGTTTCTAACTCTCTATCCCTCTCTCTTTCTCTCTGTTAAAAAAAATCAATAAAATATATTAAAAAAAGAAAAGAAACAACAGAGTTAAGAATAAACCTAGAAAGCCAAAACCGGTTTGGCTCAGTGGATAGAGCATCAGCCTGAGGACTGAAAGGTCCCAGGTTTGATTCTGGTCAAGGGCATGCACCTTGGTTGCAGGTACATCCCCAGTAGGAGGTGTGCAGGAGGCAGCTGATCTGTTTCTCTCTCATTGATGCTTCCAACTCTCTCTCTCTCTCCCTTCCTCTCTGTAAAAAATCAATAAAATATAAATAAATAAAGAGAATAAAACAAGAAAAAGTATGTCACACAAACCAAAGATGAAAACAACAATTATATCAAAAGCCACAAAGCAGTCAAATAATGTGAAGAAAAGTGTCACTGGAATGGACACTATGGAAGTCAGAGAGAGTTCAGCCTACTATACCACTACACTTACTACACAACAAAGAGCACACTAATTCCTCAACAGCTGGTTGTATTTTTTTTTTAATTTTTTATTGATTTTTAGAGAGAGAGAAAGGGAGAGCAAGAGGGACAGAAACTGCTGAAACCGGTTTGGCTCAGTGGATAGAGAGTCAGCCTGCAGGACTGAAAGGTCACAGGTTCAATTCCGGTCAAGGGCATGTACCTTGGTTGTGGGCACATCCCCAGTAGGAGGTGTGCAGGAGGCAGCTGATCAATGTTTCTCTCTCATCGATGTTTCTAGCTCTCTATCCTTCTCCCTTCCTCTCTGTAAAATATCAATAAAATATATATTTTTTTTAAAAGCTGAAACCGGTTTGGCTCATGGATAGAGCGTTGGTCTGCAGACTGAAGGGTCCCAGGTTCGATTCCAGTCAAGGGCATGTACATTGGTTGCGGGCACATCCCTAGTTGGGGGTGTCCAGGAGGCAGCTGGTTGATGTATCTTTCTCATCGATGTTTCTGGCTCTCTATCCCTTTCCCCTCCTCTCTGTGAAAAATTAATAAAATATATTTTTTTTAAAAAAGAATCAACCAATAAATGCATAAGTAAGTGAAATAATAAGTTGATTTTTTTTCTCTCTCTCTTCCTTAAAAAAAAAAAGTCAATTAAAAAAAGACAACTGGGGAAAT